ATAATAATAAGAAAGAAGACGAAGAACATAAGATTGGAGGAAACTGCAGCGGGCCTATTGACCCATACTGGGCAGTCCCATTTACACCCAACCCCTATTGCTCATATATCCATCCGACCTATGTTTGAAGCTATCCAGCGTATTCGAGTTAATGATGATATTTGGTAACTTGTTCCACTCATCCATTACTCTGTTTCCAAACCAATGTTTACCTATTTCGCGCCTAAATCTAAATTTGTCTAATTTAAAAGTTTGAGTACATTTGTAATGTCCCCTTTGTTCAGTCCTGACTTCCATTTATACACCTCTATCAGGTCGCCCCTCACTCTACGTCTCTCGAGGGAGTGCAGATTAAGATGCTTTAACCTGTCTCTATACTCAAGGTTCCTAATGCCCGGGATTAGTCTTGTCATTCTCCTCTAAATTCTTTCCAAGGATTCTATATCCATTCTGTAATACGGTGACCAGAATTGAACTGCGTAATCCAAGTGAGGTCTCACAAGCGCAAGATACAGTTTTAAGATGACCTCGCTAGTCTTGTAACTAACACTCCTTTGTATGAACCCAAGTATTTTATTAGCCTTGTTTCGAGCAAATATACATTGTTTACTTGGCTTAAGGTTCCTGCTTATCATTACTCCTAAATCTCTCTCCCAGTCGGATTTCCCAATAACATCGTTGTTCATCTGGGAACTGGTTTCCCTGTTTACATCTCCTATACTGAGTACTTTACATTTGTCCACGTTGAATTTCATTCTGCCATTTTTCAGACCATTCGAAAAATTTGTTTAGATCTTCCTTTAGTTTTGCCGAGTCCTCGTCAGATTTAATTACACGTCCTATTTTAGTGTCATCAGCAAATTTACTTATGTTGCTGTCTATGCCGATATCTATGTCGTTTATGTATATAATAAATAATAATGGTCCAAGTACTGAGCCTTGCCGAACTCCACTAGTGACGTTGCTCCAATAGGATTTAGTGCCGTTAATGCTCACTCGCTGTTTTCTGTCCTGTAACCACGCCCTAATCCATTTTAGAATATTACCTTTAATGCCCTGAACCTCCACTTTTCTAATTAGTCTTTCGTGGGGGACTCTGTCGAAGGCTTTGCTAAGTCAAGTTATACCACTTCATAGTCATGCACCTCGTCCACTGATTCGAAAACAGCTGAAAAGAATGTTAATAGATTAGTTAGACATGAACGCCCGCTTGTGAAGCCATGCTGGGAATCATTGATCAACTTGTGCTTCTCCAGGTGGTTTCGAATAGAGTTTGAAATTATTGTTTCCAGTAATTAGCCTACAATTGATGTTAAACTGATTGGACGGTAGTTAGAGGATAGTGATCTATCTCCCTTCTTGAAAATCGGTATTACATTCGCTATCCTCCATGATTCTGGCACCACACCATGCTTTTAAGGACAAGTTAAACAACTTTGCTAAAGGCATATTAAGTTCTTCCTTACATTCCTTTAATACTCTGGCAAATATCTCATCGGGACCAAGCGACTTATTAGGCTTTAACTTGTCTATTTGCTTAATAATAATAATAATAAAAATAAAAGTTGTTTATACTTTCTCTCCCTCTCGTCTGTCTCCCCCCCACCACACACACACCTTTCGATGCTTAGGTATTAGTGTTTGGGTTTGGTCGTCATGGCAACCTCCCGGACAATAACCTGATGCTGTAATGTGAATGGTGACGTTACCTGTTGCTGTGTTGTGATTGGTGGGCGTTACCTGTTGCTGTGTTGTGATTGACCAAAATATCTTTTCATGTAACGAGTTAGGACAATAATTTAATCTTAGGAACTTTTGAGAATCTATTTTTGGTGTCGTAAGTTAAGAGAGTCAGTTAGATGTGTTTTTGTGTGTGTGTGTGTGTGTGTGTGTGTGTGTGTGTGTATAAAGAGAGAGAACATAAGAATGGAGACTGGCAGGCCTATTGACCCATACTGGGCAGTCCGTTTACACCCGACCCTATTGCTCATATAAGCATCCAACCTATGTTTGAAGCAATTCAGCGTATTCGAGTTAATGATGATATTTGGTAACTTGTTCCATTCATCCACTCTCTGTTTCCAAACCAGTGTTTACCTATTTCACGCCGAAATCTAAATTTGTCTAAATTAAAACCATTGTTACGAGTTCGCTCCTGGTTGGATAGTTTGAGTACCTTTGTAATGTCCCCTTTGTTTAGCCCTAATTTCCATGTATACACCTCTATCATGTCGCCCCTCACTCTACGTCTCTCGAGGGAATGCAGAGAGAGAGAGAGAGAGAGAGAGAGAGAGAGAGAGAGAGAGAGAGAGACTATGACCACAGGAATTTTCTCAACATTAATCTTGTTTACATTATCCTCTAAACCAGTGTAAAGAACCACGACCTCCTTCCTCTCTCTCTCTCTCTTCTCTATCCCTCTCTTCTTCTCCCTCCCTTCTTCCCCCTTTTCCCTCTCTTTCCTCTCTCCCACCCTGTCCTCCCACTCTCTCCTTCCTTTAAACTCTCCCTCCCTCTCTCTCCTTCCCCTCCCTCCTCCCCTTAGCCCCCCTCTTTCACTACCCACAAAGAGAGAATTGATTCCCGAACAGAGGTGGAGGGGGGGAGGGGGGGGGTAGGAGGAAGAGGAGGATGAGGTGAGGAAGAGGAGTGAGCACAGGTAAGTTCCACACACCTGAGCTAATATGGATGGAGGAGGAAGAGAGGGCGGAAGAGGAATAGAAGGAGGAGGAAGTAGAAGAAGAGGAAGATAATGATAAACAACAACAACAACGAAGACAAATTCAATTACACACACACACACACACACACACACACACACACACACACACACACACATGAGGCTGGGTCACAGGAGGTCATTAGGAAGGTCATAAACGTACAGTGGTAGTGAAGACAAGAGAGGTCAGGTGATGCCCATTAACCTTACACCGGCCTACAGGTCAGAGACGACGTGTTATCTCACTCACTCACTTCCTGAATAATAGTCAGTCACTCACTTACTCATTGAATAATAATAATAACAACAGCAATAATAATAAAGCTTGCTCGTACGTCTGCCAGCACATATAGTGAGGCAATTTGAAAATAAACAAAGAGCCTCATTTGATAAACAAAACAAAAGCTGCTCAGGTACTTACTGTGACGTGTAGATGTGACGAGGTAGGTGACTGTGACGTAGCTGTGACGAGGTAGGTGTCTGTGACGTGTAGATGTGACGAGGTAGGTGACTGTGACGTAGCTGTGACGAGGTAGGTGGCTGTGACGCAGCTGTGACGAGGTAGCTGTGACGTGTAGATGTGACGAGGTAGGTGACTGTGACGTAGCTGTGACGAGGTAGGTGTCTGTGACGTGTAGATGTGACGAGGTAGGTGACTGTGACGTAGCTGTGACGAGGTAGGTGTGTGACGCAGCTGTGACGAGGTAGGTGGCTGTGACGCAGCTGTGACGAGGTAGGTGGCTGTGACGCAGCTGTGACGAGGTAGGTGGCTGTGACGCAGCTGTGACGAGGTAGGTGGCTGTGACGAAGCTGTGACGAGGTGGGTGACTGTGACGTGTGACTATGACGAGTAGAAGGCGGAAGACGTGTCCAGAACTGATTAGATGCAACAGAGGCGATGAAATGACTCCTGGAAAGGACGGGGCTCTCACTAGCAGCTGACAGGGTGCGACAGGAAGACGTACCCCTCACCAGGAAGACGGAACCTTTACTGTGGGTGAGAGAAGTAGAATGGACGACAGGTGAGGTGTGTTGATGAGTTACACAGGTGAGAGAGGCCGATCACCTGTACGTGGTGATGGCCAGAGAGGCACTGACCGTGGTACCTGTTGTGAGTCGCTGTTACAACTGACGAGGTGAGATGTGTTGACTGAGAGGAGGTGAGAACTGACTCTCCTGGAAAGGACGGGGCTCTCACTAGCAGCTGACAGGGTGCGACAGGAAGACGTACCCCTCACCAGGAAGACGGAGCCTTTACTGTGGGTGAGAGAAGTAGAATGGACGACAGGTGAGGTGTGTTGATGAGTTACACAGGTGAGAGAGGCCGATCACCTGTACGTGGTGATGGCCAGAGAGGCACTGACTGTGGTACCTGTTGTGAGTCGCTGTTATAGTGAGGGACAACTGCTGCTGCCGCCTCGATGACTGGACCCTCACTGTACGCATGACACTCTCTCTCTCTCTCTTACACACACACACACACACACACACCATCACAGTACCCATCCCACACACTGTCAGGTTAGATTTAGTCAGGTGTGATTAGAATGAGTTAGGTCAGGTAAAGTTAGACTAGGTTAGGTTAAGATAGGTCACGTTAGATTAGGTTAGGTTAAGATAGGTCACGTTAGAATAGGTTGGGCTAGATGAGATAGGTTTAGGTTGACAGCGGACCACAACACATCACACATTGTATCAGTATATTGTAATGTTTGTGTTATAAGACAAAACTCAATTACCAAAGATTATAAACAATAAAATATTTCAGAGCTGTGTGAGGAGAAGGAGACACAAACAAGAGATAAAGTTTATTTATTAACATTCTTCTCTTTATTGATACCTTTGCATACAGGTGAAGTAATTGAATCTTTCTGATGGCTAATTTGCATACAGGTAAAATGATTCTGATGGGTAATGTACACTATTAGTCTCTTCAGTATACTCACTATAAGTCACTTTTCTCACATACACTAAGTCTCTTTAGAACTGATTGGCTGTACACATAACGTTGATACACACACGAATTGGTATACACACACAAGTTTCCCTACGATCACGGAAAACTGGTGACTGGTGTTTACTGACTGTATCCCGTAATGACCCAGATAACAGTTATGTTGATACAGAAACTGTTTTGGTTACAGTCGCTGATAACAGTACAAGATGAAGCCAACCTCCAGTTATATTGTTCCTTGTTTTATACAGTCAATTGTTCTGTCAGACTATCACACACCTCAACATGACAGTCAGTAAGTGTGGAACTATTGGAACAGTTACACTAGAATTTCCTTAACTCAGGCAGTCAGTGGGTGATGGATGACTGCTCTCGGTACAGCCTCCAGGATCCCGCTGTATGATTGGAGTCAAGACACACGGAGATGTATTCTGAAAGGCGGGAGGAGGAGAGCCCACAACAACACCGTCCTGACGGTGCAACACCTTCCTGACGATGCAACACCTTCCTGACGATGCAACACCTTCCTGACGATGTATTTCGACTCCCCATAACACCTTCCTGACGATGCAACACCTTCCTGACGATGCAACACCTTCCTGACGATGTATTTCAACTCCCCATAACACCTTCCTGACGATGCAACAAGTCCCTCTCATTGGGGTCCTATCACCTCCCATCATCATCCCCCGATACTAGACAACCTTTCAATGTCTTCTCTCGTCTTACTCCTCTTCTCCTTCCTCAGGCATCCCAGTTTCCTCCAGAAGGCCTTCAGGTTCTCGATCGTCTCCTCCTGCATGAGATTGAAACACATAGCCACAAGGGCGCTCCCCACCAGAAGATAAACAGTACAGATGATTTGCTGAGTCTCCACTTCCTCGTTATCGTCACGTCCAGCCACCGTCCTCCCGGGAACCTGTACCAAAACAAACATGTCAACTGGCATCTAAATATCCCTTCATCTCTTACTAGTAAACTTCAAGTCATTTAAATCCCAAAGTTAAAGTATTTCTCAATATTTACAGGTGAATTCCTCCCTCCCTTCCTCCCTTCCCCTAATAAACAAGGTGTTGCCTCAGCAGGAGACTTTAAAACTAAACAAACACGCGAGCAGTTACCCCAAAATAATTCAGGTTAATGTTTACAGAATGTTAAGTTCACAAATACGAGAATTTCCCGAAATATATTATGCAAGAGGTAATATTGCATATCTCAACAACACAGGTTTGTTTACTTTCAACATCCATAAACACAAGCAAACAGAACCATGAACACGCGACAGATATCTACGGCACGTTTATAAAAAAGTTAGAATTTTAATCCACACTTTAACGCTTCGACACTGACACTGATATATTGTTGGCATACGGGAGGTGAACAATAACACAGTATTAATAACAACAAAAATAACAATAAAACAACAATAATAACCATAAAATAAAAATAACAACACAACAATAAAAACAACATAACAATAACACAGCAACACCCCAGCAACACCCCAGGAACACCCCAGCAACACCCCACCAACACCCCACCAACACCCCAGCAACACCCCAGCAACACCCCACTCTCACCAAATCACCGAAGCCAATAGTGCTGAGGGAGATGTAAGCGAAGTAGCAAGCATCCAGCAACACCCATTCCTCCCACTGTGAGAAGATTATCCCGCCACACAACACGTAGATGGCGATGACGAGAAGACAGTAGGTGATAGGGATGGTACGTCTTGCCTGCTTCTCCCCCTTCTGCTGCTGCTCCTGCTGTTGGATAGATGGATGAGTTAGTATCTGCCTGAAGTGTATTTGATTATTGAAAGGGATGTCTTGTTTGGATATATAGATTGGTATTTTTAGGTTGGGTTAGATTAGGTCATTTTTGGAACCTATTGAGAACGGGTACATTAATGGCACTGTACCTTGTTATGACGGTTGTTGGCAGCTGTTACGGGTCTAATGGTGCCGCTACCTGACCTGTAGTAACCCAGAGAGCCGATGTCACACCTGTGGGGAGGACAGGTGAGTTCATGATCATCTACCTGTGTTTACCTGTATAACTTTACCGTAGCAATCAATTAGAAATTTTACTTTATTATCTAGTAAATGATTTGAAGTGTAATTAATTTATAAATGCACAAACAGAAACGTACATACACACACACACACACATACACACACACACACACAAACACACACACACACGACATATATGAAATAGACGTCTTTATGCTAACGAGTTGATATGGTAAAGTGGGTCTCAGGTTATTAATGCGGGTAGTTCTGTCTGTCTGTCTGTCTGTCTGTCTGTCTGTCTGTCTGTCTGTCTGTCTGTCCCTAATCTTACTAATCCTTAATCCTATTGTGTACTAATGTTACTAATCCTTAATCCGACTAACCACTAATCCGGACTAAACCCTCATTAGGATTACTGCCAATCTATCCTAATCACGTCTTTAATTGATTCACATATACCGTCCCTCAATCATGATAGCCGTCAGCAGCTGTCAGTCTCTCGCTGATGTCGCTTCCTTGACTGTCAGCTGTCGGTAAGGCATCTCTACCTGACAGCAAAGGTACCGGTAATAGTAAGGTGTGGAGTCTGTCTGTCTGTCTGTCTGTCTGTCTGTAATGTGTCACTGGTTATGTATAGACGATATACACAGATACACATAACATACATAAGAATATACATATATACAAACAGATCCATACATACACATTACACATACAGTATACATATATGCATACAAATTAACTGTTTATACATACATTCATACATTAATTCAATCGACTTCATTTCCTGTATAATCATGTATAACTATTTTCAGCCATAGGATCGAGCGGGAGACCATTAGGACGGGATGTGAGTTTTGTATCCATTCGCCCACAGCACACCCAAGAGTCAAGTATGGACTGTTTATTGAAGTGAAGTGAAACAGATGTAAACAAGAGAGTGGAGGTCTGGCTGTGTGTGTGTGTGTGAGTGTGAGTGTGTGTGTGTGTGTGTGTGTGTGTGTGTGTGTGTGTGGTGATTCGAAGCAAGAGTTCACTCGTACTAGTGTTTGAGGGTGTCTGTCTCCCTGTCACAGCGAGAGAGAGACACGTGACCTTTGACCCTCTCTCACCCTAACTAGAGAGGTCAAAGGTCATGATACTTTCTCCTACAGGTGTCTCTAGCCCTCCCCCCTCCCACAGCTGGCGACCCTTGCAGATGGTTCACAGATGGTGGTAATGAACGGAGGAGAGCAAGACGGTGATGATTAATGAATGATAGCAGTCTGGTGGTGTGACGTGAGAGAGAGAGAGAGAGAGAGAGAGAGAGAGAGAGAGAGAGAGAGAGAGAGCTATCTTTTAATTAGATTTTCAACGCTGATTCACCTACATGACGTCCCCTTTAAAGTATAGTCAACATGAGTGTGTGTGTGTGCCCCCTACCGTGGTGTGAGTGACAGTGCCCAGCTGCCGGTAGAGGAGGAAGAGTCCAGTCAATATTAAGGCCCAAAACGACCCTCTCTCGCTCTCTTGTTGATGTGAGGGTTGTCATATATCTTGAGGGTATGTGGGCGTGTGTGGGTGTGTGGCTGTGTGTCGGTGTTTGTGGGGTGGGTGTGTGGGTGTTTGTGGATGTATGTCCGGGGGTTTGTGGTCTGTGTGGGGGTTTGTGCGGGTGAGGATGTGTGGGGGAGTGTGAGCGTTATATCAGATGTAAAACCTCCATCTAGCGGATTATATTGGAGAGAGAAGTCCGTTATATGGAGGTTTCACTGTATATAATGGCGTCATTAAACCTGTGCACAAAGAGACGTATCAAGTTTGTTTACTTTTGGATCAGTGACAATGGGACTAAAATATTTTCAACAGTAGAGACTAGACTATCTTGATAACCCATCTCTAACCCTTCTTATTTGACTTTACAGTCTTAATTTAGCCTTTTTAGGCTATGTAAGATTAAATTTGGCTTAGTTAGATTTAATTAAGTTAGTTTTGGTTGATATCGTTGATCGACCTTCTGAATTAGCTTAGCCCCGTTGTCTCTGAGTTCAAGGTCAACACACACAAACACTCACGTAACTAAACACCCCCCCCACCTAAACACCCCCCCACCTAAACACTAAAACTCACCTGATGAACTACCACTCACCTGCAGGCCCGGAAATAAACAAATTTGAAGACTTGAGCCAAAATCTCCCCAACGTTTGACATATAGAGGAGCATTAGAGGCATGCCCACGATGGCGTATAAGATGGTGGCAAGTTTACCCCAATCTGTCCGTGGCGTCATGTTCCCGTAGCCTGTGTGAGGGGAAAGTGATTTATTAAGGTCATATTCGTCATGTTCTCCCTTAAATATGATAAAGGGATTTGTGAAGATAATTATAGGTGTGTGTGTGTGTGTGTGTGTGTGAATTGTTTGTTTACCTGTAATTGTTTATATGACTATCTATCTATCTATCTATCTATCTATCTATCTATCCACTGCTCATAGGGGCATACCGTATATCTTGTTCAGTACACTTCTATATATTTTTAGTCTGGCATTCGAAGGTGGTTTAGCCCTTGACATATGCGAGCCGGAGGTACTAGGCTAAAAATATACTGTGTGTGTGTGTGTGTGTGTGTGTGTGTGTGTGTGTGTGTGAGTGTGTGTGTGTACGAATGACACCACTTAACCATATGACACTTCTATTATTATCTGTCATTCATCTAATTTCATAATTTATGCCACCAATTGACACTTACAGGATCTCACATGACACCTCCAGACCATATGACACTTCTCTTACCTCACATGACACAATCTTTCTCATATGACACTCTACATTTACTTCCACATATGACACTTGGACACTCATACAGACAAAGACACAATGACAGGGACAGAGGAGGACACTGACAGACACTGACAGACACTTACCTCACATGAGACAGGGACAGACACTTGACACAATCCTTCTCATATGACACCCCTCTTGTCCCACATGACACTTATAGAAACTTCATAAGACACCCCCCTCGAGCATATGACACTTGACACCTCATATGACACTTAGACAGTTAAAAGGGGGACAGTTAACTGGTAGGGAAGTGGCAGTTAACAAGTCACTTTCCTCTTGGCCTCATCACTCAGGTGTGTACAGGTGAGGGGCAGTGATGTATGGTGGGGAGAGAGAGAGAGAGAGAGAGAGAGAGAGAGAGAGAGAGAGAGAGAGAGAGAGAGAGAGAGAGAGAGAGAGAGAGAGAGAGAGAGAGAGAGAGAGAGAGTGAGAGAGAGAGAGAGAGAGAGAGAGTGAGAGAGTGAATCAAATACAAACAGACAGACAGACAGACACAAAAATATGACAAGTATACACCAGAGAATGTCGTACAATATATAGAGTACTAAGCCTTCATCACTGCCTTAATGCCGGGGATAATAATAATAATTTATACGTCTGGCAGCGCATAGAGCGAGAAGAAGAAATTTATATTAGTTAAAAAATAAATACACTAAATAATAGAGAAATAAGGTTTTGTTTTTAAGTTTCGTAAAAAAATTGAGATATTAACACACGTGATTTAGAATAAAAATTTTAATTAATAAAAGTTAGGGAGAGGCTACTGCTGCCAGAGCCGTAGTTAAAAATATCTCATTTACTGCTTCTGATACCAACGTTTTGCTCTGGGTTACTACTTTCTTGGTACTATATTGGTATAGGTATTATTCTCTCTGTCTCTCTCTCTCACCAGAAACTAAATAAACCTCACCATTTGCCACAAAAACCCAGTAGCCACAACACTCTCCACCACAAATGTATACCAGAAGAAATATTTTTAGCCTCGCGTTCTCTCCATTGTTTACATCGTCGCAGAGCCCCACCAAGCCTTCATGGCCACTACGAGCTTATCAATATTTACAACCCCGTGTCTGGTTTTGTGCTTTTTACGATTGTAATCTCTATTTTACTTCGTTTGATGTAGAGTTGAGTGTTATTTAATTGCTTTCATTTATTTTTATCAATACATTTACATCTGGTTAAGGATTGATAGTCTGTTTATTGGAAGATAAGGTTTTGTCTTTCAATCTCAACATTTCTTCAGCTAGAGTTGATTATCAATTCATACTAGTTGTTTCGTTTTGTCTTTCAATTTCCTACCTTCCAAGTGTCTGAAAGTGAGCTGGCCTTCACCAATTCATCCACGAGAGATATTCTTTATATACTTCAAGTTACGATGCATCTCATATCAATCTCAAGTAACCAATTAAAATACAAAAGAAAAACAAAAATGACTCAATTATTGAAAACAAAAAACAATATTTGATTCATCAACTTGGGACGGGTTGGGTTGGGACGGCTTGGGTTACGGGGTTGGGTTGGGACGGCTTGCTTGGGTTGGGTTGCTTGGGGGGTTGGGACTTGGGTTGGGTTGGGTTGGGACGGCTTGGGTTGGGTTGTTTTGGGCGTTTAATGTGTTTTGTGTAAACGCAAACAATTCTAACCATAAACTTGTACACTCATGATCATTTTACGTACACACACACATTATTCACATAAACACACACACACAGAAGAGCTACGTAAGTACTTCTTCTCACCTGGTCTGGTCCATCATCACCAGCTCCCCCTCACCCCGAGAGAGAGAGCCAACACGTGTAGTCATCAATCGACAAATATCAACATCAGATTAACACACACACACATGGACGTCCTGGGCCTATGTGTGTATGTGTGTGTGTGTAAGTGATAGACATCTTTGTGTACATGAAAGATACTTACATGAATGAACTAAATTAGCTTACGCGTGTTTAAAGATAACAAGCGAGGCAGTATGATGATTGCATCTCTCTCTCTCTCTCTCTCTCTTCTTACCATACCTCTACCACCATTTTTCACAGATAGGGAAGGGGAGAAGACCTAAGTATAACCACTGCGTCAGGGCCTTTGTCAGGTATTCGGTTGGCAGGTCGTGGGTAATAGTGTGCCACGGAAGGGCGGATGGATGGCCGCAAAAATAATACCCTTGAAAAATGTTATATGTAATGTTTTTGTTGTTGTGGTGGTGCTGGTTGTTGTTGTTGTTGTTGTTGTTGTGGTGGTGGTAGTGGTGGTGGTTGTTGTTATGTTGTTGTGCGGGGAGATATGATAGAAGTATTTAAGTGGGTGAAAGGAATCAATAAAGGGGATATAGATAAAGTTCTTATAATATCCGAGCAGGATAGGACTCGGAGCAACGGATTAAAGTTGGATAAGTTTAGGTTTAGGAGGGAGATAGGAAGGAACTGGTTCACAAATAGGGTGGTGGACGAGTGGAACAAGCTTAGCAACTTTGTAGTAAGTGCTGGAACGCTGGAAAGTTTCATAAGGAGGCTAGATAGATTCATGGATGATAGAGAGTGGTAGTAACTCTCGACAGGAGCTGCCATGCACAGGCCAACCGGCCTATTGCAGACTCCTTATTTTCTTATGTTCTTATGTTGTGGTGGTTGTTATGATGATGATGTTGTTGTTGTTGTTATTATTGTTCTGTTGTTATTGGGTTTATTTAGGATTATTGTTATTATTAATTTCTTGCCCTTTAATATTATCTTCTCTTGCCCCTTTCAATATCTCCTGCTCTTTACTACTTCCTTTTTCTCTACTTATTGCCCTTCCACCCCTCCTGCCCTCACTACCTCCTGCCCTTACTGTTTCTTCCCCTTTAACACCTGCCCCTCACTACCTACCTCTTGCCCTTCTTGCCCTCCTGCCCTTGTGGTGGTGGAGGCAATGTAAACATGGGTATTGCCCACGCCAGGAAGCTCTCGGTAATATATGGGCGTGTGTGTGTGTGTGTGTGTGTGTGTGTGT